TGAAAGTTACAAATAAAAGAACTAGAATATTCAAATCCTCTAAATTTTTAGTGGCAGCCTGTTAGCCCTTTTCCTTAGAGTAGTAAAAAATCTCTCAAGAAACATTTTTTAAAAACCATACATCTTTTTATTGATAAATTCTCTAATGTTTTTATTGGAGAGAGGAGGGACCATTTGTCATCTTAAAGAACAGCCTGGGGGCAATTAGGAGTTGAACGACCTGTCTACATTTACATAGCTATATGTATCAAAGGTAGGCTTTGAACTCAGACCTTCCTGACTCAGAGGCCAGCCCTATGCTTGCTACCCCAAACTGCCTCGAAGTCTCACAGAGGCTCTTAATCTGGGCTCTGTGAACCTTTTAAAAAATATATTTTGATGGGGGCAGCTAGGTGGCACAGTGGATAGAGAACTGGCCCTGGATTCAGGAGGACCTGAGTTCAAATCCGACCTCAGACACATAACACTTACTAGCTGTGTGACCCTGGGCAAGTCACTTAACCCCATTGCCTAAGCAAATATATAGATATAGATATAGATGCAGATAACTGCATTTTAATAGAATTGGTTTAATAGAATTCTATTAAATTCTACTTAATACATTTAAAAACACCATTCTAAGGAGTTCAAAGGCTTCACCAGACTTCCAAACTGAATTTAGTCACTTCTGAAAATTAGGTTGCAAAGTTTTCCAATCTCACCTAGATACTAGCAGTTGAACTCAAATTCATGATTTTTTTTCCAAGTAAAAATATTTGAGGTTAAGAAATAAAGGCATTCTTTAATAGGCTAAGTACAGTACATGCCGTGTAATATGGTGGGAAGAACAGTTTTCTTGGAATCAGAAGACTTGAGCTTGAATCTATTCATCTCTGCCACTTACTAACTGTGTGACCTTGGGAAAAATAAGTTGTATCTTTGAGCCTCAGTTTCCTCATTTGTAAAACAAGGGTAACAATATCTATAATATCAGCATCATAGAGCTGAGAGGAAAGTGCTTTTTAAATGAATTATTGTTTTTATTTTCCTAATTCCGAACAAAGATTTGTTGTTTTTGTTGTTCAGTCAGATCAGTCGTGTCTGACTCTTCATGACCCCATTTGGGGTTTTCTTGGCAGAGATACTGGAGTGGTTTGCCATTTCCTTCTCGAACTCATTTAACAGATGAGGAAACTGAGGCAAACAGGGTTAAGTGACTTGCCCAGGGTCACTCAAGACACTAAGTGTCTTGAGACCAGATCTGAACTCACCTCTTCCTGACTCCAGGCCCCGAATTCTGTCCACTGTACCACCTAGCTGCCTCTAACAATGATAAACTATTCCAATTCTTATCCTCAGTCGCAACAATGGTAAACTTTTTTCACATGTGACTTGATAATACTCTTTCAGCGGAAACTTCCGGTTCATGACCATATCCTGTGGCCTTTGCTACAACTAAGGCCAAAGCAATTTGTGGAGTCCCTGGAGATTACTGGGTTAGTGAGGCTGTGGTGCTTTAGGGCAGAGTGGAGAGATGAGCACGTTGGAGGGGCTGGATGCTCATATGCCCAGCTGACATGTTCTGCTAGAGAGTACATTAAGTACTATTTTTCTCCTACGAGAGGCAGTGTGGTATCATGATAGAAAACTGCTTCTGACATATATTGGCTCTGTGCCCTGGTCAACTCTCTAAGACTCTTAAATTGCAGAGTAACAGAATCTGCATTGGTAAAGGGACTTTCCTCACCAGGAGTTCCCTACCCCCAAAAAAAATTCCGATATGAAATAATTTAAAGATATAGGAAAAATACCATTTGCATATAACAACAATTTTCAAAAGCTGCTTAATAGAAGTTACTTTTACTTTCATGACTTTTTCTTTTAAAAATTGTATTGAAAGAAAGCCCTGTTTTACTGTTTTCCCAAAAGACATAAAAATGTGCTTTCTGCTGATTAAAAAAATCATTTCTTACTAGACCAAAATGATACATTTCCATGACATTTTGAAGAAATCAGGCTTAAAACTGAAAAGTGAATATTCAATATATGGGAAACAATGCACAAACAATGGGCCCAAACTCTGGCTCCTTTCCCTTCTTCTTTTCCTCCTCTATATCCTCTCTCAGGCAAACTTACGATTCTCAGAGTTTCAGCTACTGCCACTTGCAGAATATTTTCAAATCTACACTTTCTCTCCTAACCTCTCTCCTAACTTATCTCCAGATCCACATGTTCGACAGCCTTCCAGCAGGTTCCATCTGTATGTCTTCTTGGAACCTCAAACACAGCATTATCCAAAAGGGGGTGCTTTCTCTCTCAAGGCCAATCCTTGATCTCAATTTCCTAAGTCTGTTGTTAATGGTGCCATTTTTCTCACGGTGACACAGGCTCAAAAACTCAGGCCATCTTTGGCTTTTCCTCCTCCTTCATTGCCCCTACCCACATGCAGCCAATTGCTAGGTCCTGTTAATTCTACCTTTTAACCATCTTTCCTGTTTGTTCTGACTTTCCATTCTAACTACTACCATTCTAGTGGCATTGCAGCAGCCAGGGCAGCTGGCAGAAGAGGAGTACAGGACTCGAAATCAATGGACTTGAATTCAAGTCCTAGCTGTGATATTTCAAGGCTATATGACTGTAGGCAAATCACTTAACTTCCTTCAAATCTCATTTTCCTCATCCATAAAATAGGGATGATGATATTTGAACTCTACTTCACAGGGTTGTTGTGAGTCAAGTGCTTTGTTAAACCACAAGTGAAGTACTTTCTAAACTTCACGTTGTTGTTCAATTGTGTCCGACTTTTCATGACTCCATTTGGGACTTTCTTGGCAAAGGCACTAGAGTGGTTGGCCATTTCCTTCTCTAGTTCATTTTATAGATGAGGAAACTGAAGCGAACAGGGTTAAGTGACTTGCCCAGGGTCACACAGCTACAAAGTGTCTGAGGCCAAATTCAAACTCAGGTTTTCTGACTCCAAGCCCAATGCTCTTATCCACTGCACCACCTAGCTGCCCAGAGGCATTATATACAGCCCTCATTGCCTTTTGAAGTTAGGAGGCTTAGTAGATAAGAGCACTAGACCTGGAGTCAGAAAGACCTGAGTTCAAATGTTTTCTTAGATACTTACCAGCTGTATGACTCCTGGACAAGTGAGTTAATCTCTGCCTCAATTTCTTCAACTGTATAATGGTGATAATAATAATACTTACCTCCCAAGATTGCTGAGAGGATCAAATGAGATAATACTTGTAAAGTGCTTAGCATAGTGCCTGGCACATATAGAAGGTGTTTAATAAATGCTTATTCCTTCCTTTTGTCTAGGCTTACTGCTACAATCTTCTAACTCATTTCCCAACTTCTCATTTCTTCTTGCTTTAATCTGTCTTACATACAGCTACCAAAGTCATCTGCCTAACCTGTAATTCTGAAAATGCTACTCCTGTTCTCAAAACTCTTTAATAGCTCCTTAGTGCCCATCCAATCAACTATTTATCTGGGCATTTAAGCACCTCAACAATATGGCACTAACCCACTACTCTATTATACTAATCCTCTCACATAATCCACTTTCCTGGCAACTGGACTACTCACCATTTACAAAACTCATCTCATGTGTTCCTGCATCAATGCCTTTCCTAACACCATCTCCAATACATGCACACTCTGCAGTTTGCCTCTTCTGGCAGTTTGCACACTAATCTGTCGGATTTTTTCCTTATCTCTTGGAAGGCTCTTCCACACTCAGCTTTGGTCCCTTTCTTGACCTGTCAATAACATTCTTCCCACCAACTGCCAGTGCCTGAGTAACTATGGCATACATAAGCACAGGTTCCCAGCATTGGCAGGGACTTCAGGTACCTCAAAAACCATCTAGAACAACCCATATCTGGACAACACATCCCTTCTACAACACCCAAGTGGTAACCCCACCTTCATTTGAAGACATCTGGAGAGGAAAACACCTTTACCTCCATGGGCAATCCATTCTATGTCTGGATAACTCTAACTGGGAAGAAATTTCCCTAGCCCCCCAATACCTCAAGCTAAATTTGTTTTTCTTCCATTTCCACTTATTGCCCCAGTTCTGCCTTTTGGGGCCACGCTGAATAAATCAAATTCTTCTTCCACAGTTATCAGGTACTCTCTAAGACTTCTCTTTTCCAGGCCAAACATCCCCCATTTCTTCAAGCAGTAGCTAGAGGTGCATAGAGCACGGGGCCTGGAGTCAGGAAGACCTGAGTTCAAATCAGGCCTCAGACACTTACTAGCCATGTGACCCCGGGCAAGTCACTTAACCTTGTTTGCCTCAGTTTCCTCATCTGTAAAATGGTGATGTATAAAATAGCATCGTCTTGAAGGGTTGTTGTAAGAATCAAATGAGGCATTTTTAAAGCACTTAGCATAGTGCCTGACACATTGTAGGTGCTATATAAATGCTTATTCTCTTTTCCCCTTCCCCCTTCAAGCGATGTGCATCCTTTGTTATCCTACTAATCCTTCTCTGAATTTGTTTGAAATTGTGGATGCCCTTCCTAAAATGTGGCCCCCAAAACTGAACATAATACCCCAGGTGTGATATGACAAGGAAAGAGCATAGCAAAACAATCATTTCCCACTTCCCAAACTCTCTTAAAGCAGCCTAAATGTGCATTAACTTTTTGGGCAGCCTTGCTCCACCCTCGGTGCATAGGGCACTAAATCCCATTAAATCTTAGGCAAATAGTCGGGTCGGATAGCCATGATTTCCCCAACTCACATTCGCTAAGTAGATTGTTCTCCCCCTCCATCCTGGCCAAATGCACACCCCATTATCTTTCTCAAACCCAGACCCAATTCACACTGGACCCTAGCTAACACTGCTGTTAAATTTGATTCAATTTGACAAATTCAGCAAACATATGTTAAGCGCCCACAGTATGCAAGAAATGGTCTGTGTCACCCACCCAGCCTGGCTTGGGCCACTGCAAATAAAGCTACAGCTGCTTTGCCCAGTGACCTCGACCCCTTCCCTGACTTACCGTGGGGGTCCTGCGAATACTTGGCCTTTCTTCATATTGTGACTTTGGAGTTTCTCTAAAGGACTGGGGAAGAGAAAGAAAGAAATAGGGATATAATGACAGAAGGTTTCCTGGAGAATCTAGGGAAGAACAAGTGTGAAGAGGAGTGAGGGAAGAGATAGAAAAAAGCAGAAAAGGTCAGCATTTAAGGATCTAAATGCATGATGGCCAAGCTACCTATCTGTTTCTTTGGTGTGATTGGCTCATTTTCTCACTTTCCAACATGAGCCCCTCCTACTTTTCCAATCTTCTTACACCCTTCTCCTTTCCATGTACTCCTCCACCCAGTGCTACTGGCCTCCTGGCTGTCCCACGAGCAAGACACTCCATCTTTTGGCTCTGGGCATTTTTCTCTGGCATGTTGTCTCCTCCATTAGATTGTGAGCTCCCTGAGGGCAGGGATTGTTTTTGCTTCTTTTTGTAGCCCTAGCACTTGGCACAGTGCCTAGCACATAGCAGTCATTTAGTGTTTATTGAATGATTGAATTGACTGATGAAGACAAAACCTGGATGAGAAGAAGGAAGTGCTCAAGGAGGAGGTGGAAAGGTACCAATGTAAGGCAGAGAATACAGGTCAGAAAGACAAGAAACTGCAGGGATTATGAGTCTGAGGGAGGGAGAAGGAGAATCTTAGTAGAGTAGAAAATCCTGGTGAATCCATATAACCTGAGGGTCTGTCTACCCCATAGTCCTTTCCCATGGCCTGGCATTGTGGATCGCAATGGAGCAGAACATCTTAGCTCATCCACATTGCCCAAGGGCTTTGTCTACCCCATGGTTCTATCTCATGGCCAGGTGCTGTAGGTATGTACGAGCAGAGTAAAGCACCCCGGTTTATTCATACTCCCCAAGGGCTTGTCTACCTTGGTCCTGCCCAATGACCAGGTGCTGCAGACACATATGAGTAGGGTAGAGCATCCTGGCTCATCCGTATTCCCTGTGATTTGGTGTTATACATGTCTTTGTTCTGTGAGAAGGATGGCATGTGGGGCTTTGAGTGGAATGTCAGAAGAGCACATTCTCAGGAGTTAGACACACACACACAGTCACCCACCTTGGCACCAATGCCTTCAGCTTCCAAGAGCCTTCTTGTTTCTTCAATATCTTCCTTTTGTTGGTCATACTGTCAAGACAAAGGTCAACGTTGTAAAATGACACTTAGAGGCTCTTTTGGGGAGACAAGAGGGCCTTGAAGTCACCTCTAAGGGGTGCCATGAAGAGCAGCCATGTAAAGTTGGAAGGACAAGCATCCAGATTCATTGGACAGTGAACAGTGTCACCAGCCGTAAATTGGCAAGGATTTACTAAGGGTCTACTACGTGCCAGGTGCTGTGCTTGGTGCTGAAGATACAAGAACAAAAATACAACATATTCCTTGCCCTCAAGGAGCTTATATTCTTTTGGAGGAGATGACCCATGCAATCTTTAGGTATATACAGGATAAATACAAAATAATTTTGTAGGGGAGGCTTCACATAGAAGGTGGAAACGTGAGGTAAACATGACAGCAAAGAAGGAAGTGGGATTGGGAATATTGCCATTCTAGGAGGGAAAGGGGAAGTAGAGCTCTGGGCCTGGAGTCAGGAAGACCTGAGTTCAAATCCTGCTTCACACACTTACTAGCTGTGTGACCTGGGCAAGTTACTTAACCTCTTTTTACCTTGGTTTCCTCAACTATAGAGTGGGGATAATAACAGCACCCCTCTTGCAGGGTTGTTGTGAGGATCAAAGGAGATAATATTTGTAGTATTATACTTAGTACTATTCCTGGCACATAGTAGGTTCTATATAAATACTTATTCCCCTTCCTTTCCCCCCTACTACTTCAATAAGATAATACCTCAAGGTCTTAGCATAGCATTGTGTTCATCCTAAATTTTTTAGGGCTACACCACGTGCAGGTTTAAGTAGGTCCTACCAAGCACAAAGCCTTCAAGTATGGGACCAGTGACAGGCTATATGCCTGAAACCAGGAGATTTGCCTAGCTCTTGGGTTCATAAAGGTTCATTACCAGGTGGTTGGCCACCAGGTTTTGATTTTTTTTCAGCCACAATAATGCATGATTAGATATATAATATACATAATGTGTTTTGCAAATCTTAAAATACACTTTTGAGCTACGATGATGATGAAGATGAAGATGATGACAATGATGCCTAAAAGTCTACTAGGGTAAAGAGGTGTTGTGATATTCATTGGCAGAAGTATACACATTGATCAAACCAGGGATCCCTGAAATATAGAACTGTGTTGAGCACAGCAGAATTCAGAGAGTTTTCTAAGGGCCAGCCCATTGAAGGAAGCCAAGTAAAAATGCTGAACATCAAATTCTTCAATGGCAGGTGCCACTAGGACTTGTCCCAGAAGACTGTCAGCTCCCTAGTCCTGGAGCTGGGCAAGGAGGTGCCCAAGAGATTCAGCAGCCAGAGGATGCGTGTAGAAATTGGCGAGCACATTGTTGGGAAATCCGCCTTCCTTGTGTGGAGTGGTTGTGGTGACCTTGGTGAGAATCTGGTGGAGCTTCTGACCAGCTCCTCCAAGACTGACTCAGCTGGGTGAACTGCTGCTCATTATCCTTTCCTTCTCTCATGCTCACTAGGATGAGAAGTATTACAAGTCTAGCCCTGATCCCAACAAAGCTGGTGGCAAATATGATAACTGTGCTAGGAATGGATCACATAATCCCCATGGACCTTCGTGCCTCTCATATTTGGGGTTGTTGTTGGTTTTTTAATATCTCAGTAGATAATTTGTATGAATATTTGCTTATGTATTATATTTCCATGGAACCATGAGATCACAAATTTAGAGCCAGAGGGAACTTTAGAAACCATCCAGTCCAACCTTCTTACCCCCACCCAACATTTTATGGATGAAGAAACTGAGGCAGAGAGAGTTGAAGTAATTCACTTAAGCACCCACAAGCAGTAAAAAGTAAAGCTGGGCTTTGAACTAAGGTTCTTTGACTCCAAATCATTGTTATCATTCAGTCGTATCAGTCTTGTCCAACTCTTCATGACCCCATTGGGGGCTTTCTTGGAACTGATACTGGGGTGGTTTGCCATTTCCTTCTCCAGCCCATTTTACAGATGAGGAAACTGAGGCAAACAGGGTTACATGACTTGCCCAGGGTCACACAGCTAGTATCCTCGGCTAGATTTAAACTCAGATCTTCCTGACGCCAGGCCTGGAAGCTCTATCCACTGAACCACCTGGTTGTCCTTTCCACTGTACCATACTTTATACATTACTATAACAGCTGTATCCTAGCGGGACATATAAGGAGGCAGAATGAGGTAGCTGTAAACGCTCTGGAGCTGGTCAGGGGACATTTGGGGTTGAATCCCACCTCTGACATTATGTTACCATGACAAGTCATTCATGGGTCTCGGCTTCTTCAACTATAAAATGATGATAAGTGGTACCTCAAGTACTTATCTACATTATAGGGTAGTTGTGAGGGACAAATAAGATAATGAATGCTCAGTCCTTTACAGACTTTAAATTATTTTCTGTTAAATTATGCTCTATTAGTATCAGTTATTAGAACTTTAATACTTTTGACCAATGTGGCAATTGTTTTTGCTTAATAGTACTTTGTTACAAGGGAATTATTGAGGTGGGGAAAGGATAATAATGTAAATAAGAATCAATGAAACCTTTTTAAAAACAAATAATGAAGCCAAATATGCCCAGATCATCCTCAAATCAAATATAAACAAACAAAAAGTTTAAGGGTCCAAATAGTCTGAAGGACCTAGGTGCAAGGAGCAGGTAGGTGGTGGCCTGGAGTCAGGAAGATCTCAGTTCAAATAAGGCCTCAGACACTTTACTAGCTATGTGACTCTGGGCAAGTCACTTAACCCCTATTTGCCTCAGTTCCCCCCTCTGTAAAATGGTGACACACTGGAGAAGGAAATGGCAAACCACTCCAGCATCTTTGCCAAGAAAACCCCACAGAAAAAGTCACGTAGAGTCAGACACAACTGAATAACCACACCCAGATGCAGCTGTATGGCACAGAATGGGGAGGTGCGTTCAGAGCTCCTGTTTAACCTAACAGATGGTAAATAGGGGGCCAGCACCCAAGAAATCAACCACCCTTCTTGGAAGTAGCCCCGCTGCTCACCATACCCGTTTGCTTGATTCTATCCAGCCTTGGACCTATCTATGCCTGTTTGGTCTATCTTCCTTTTAGACTAGTTACTTTTTGCAACCCACGACTGCTTTCCATGGCCTCCTTGGTTATGTGGTCCATTAGAGGTCGAATGCACTTTTAACTCCTGACTGCCTTACACATTGGTCCCATTTATAGCTATAGCTCATGAACTCTGACAGTGAGAGTCCCCTTAATACTCAAATCAGTAGAATCAGTTCATAACAAAAGACATTTACTAAGAAAGCATAGTAGAGAACAATAGTTACAAAGCATTTCTCCCAGAAACTTTGGGTACATCCTCTCAGACAGATCATTACAAGAGCGGACAAAAACAGAGTGAGTAGTGAGATGTACGTGTTGGGAATATGTGTTGCTGCAATGGGGCCTCAACGTCTTTCTTCTCTGCACATAATACTCAGTTTACCTCCCAATTGCCAGGGTTAGTTCTCTCTTGAATTCATTACCTGCTGTCTTCTTTGCTACCAGGTGTCACACTCCTTAAAACTACTTCCTCCCTCAAGTGACTCCCACTCTATCTCTGCTCCCTGCTGTGCCTTAAACACCGTCCAATTAACTTCTGAACTGATGGACAGTATGTCTCCTATGAGGTGAATTCCTAGGTGACATTGCTGATTAGGGAATAGGGAAAGGAGGGATGAGGAGAGGAGAGGAGAGGGGAGAGTGGAGGAGAGGAGAAGAGAAACTCCCAGAATCCCTGGCTACTTTCTGATATTGGCTCAGGAGTCATACTCTTAAGGAGAAGCTCCAAGCCTGGATTGACCCAAACTCTCCAACTACATAAATTGATTACAGGGCTGGCAGATTTGCTGCTTAAAGACCTCCAGGGGCATGGTCAGTTTTCAGCCAGCCAATCCCAAGCTTCCTGTCCAATTTAATCCAAGAAATGTTTTCTTCCTAAGTAAGGGGATGCAGGGGAGAATCTTTACAGTTAATTTAACACCTTGTTATCATATTAATGCCTCATTACCTCTGTTGTCTTTTTTGAGTAGATAAACTGGGGTTGAGGGGCTGGCAATCACATGGTAAAAAAAAAAACATAATTACTCCGCATAATAATATCCTCCACTCCCTCTCCCAGAAAGTCATTCCACATGACAAATAGCATTTTTTAAAGAGAGGACAAAAACTTGGCACAACTGATCAATACGTTAAAAAAGTTTACAGGGGCAGCTAGGTGGCACAGTGGATAGAGCACTGGCCCTGGAGTCAGGAGGACCTGAGTTCAAATCTGGCCTCAGACACATAACACTTACTAGCTGTGTGACCCTGGGCAAGTCACTTAACCCCAGTGCCTAGCAAAAAGAAAAAAGAAAAAAAAGAAAAAAGAAAAAATGTTAAAAAATATGTGCAATGTGTAACATCTGAGGACCTCCTGCCTCCATAGTTTGGGAGCGTCTTTTCATATCTCTTTATTTGAGCTCTGCTTGATCTTTACAATTTTGTTATATTTACTTTTGGTTTGTAGTCGCTCTTCTCAATTATATTGTTGCGGTTACTGTGTATGTTGCTTTCTTGGCTCTGCCTACTTCACTCTGCACAGTTCATATAAATCTTTATGTACCACAATTTGTTCAGCCATTCCAACTCTTAGCTACGACAAAAAAAAATGCTGTTGTAAATATTTAGGAGTAGGTGAGCGATGACTTCCTTGGAGTTTAAGTCTCTGCTTTGAAGGGTAAAGACATCTTAGTCACTTTGTCTGTATAGTTCCAAATTGCTTTCCAGAATAACCGTACTGCTTCACAGCTCTACCAGCAATGCACTACTGTGCATCGGGATCAGGAGATGTTTCTCCTTTGGTAGCCCCTTTATAGCTAGATCTATTTCCTTTTCTGAGGTTTGATTATTTAAGATCTCTATACGGTCTTCTGATAGTCTGGGCACTTTATATTTTTGAAGGCATCATTCTATGTCTGTTGTGTTCTTAGTTTTGTTAGCATAT